TCAAATAATTCTGGTAATCATAAGGCATCACAACTGAAACGAATAACCCTCAACAACCAATCTCCGGCGACGAACACCAATTACGTGGCTGTTCACATCTTGACCTCGTATCCACTAGTGAACATTGAAGATTCCTTTCCCCTGTGATATTTTTAAAAATTTTTTCACTCGTATACTAATTTTCCAAATAGTGAATATCAATTTTTTTTCTCATGCAGCAGTTCTCATCAGCTGCTCAAGTTCATTGATCAAGTTATCCGTTAAGAATATGTCACTTTAATTCTACTTCGTTAGGATTCAACAGAAACTGTCACATCTTCTATGTTTTGTAAATCTGTTCCATAATAAGGGTAATAGAAGCCTGGTAAACAGATCCGATGAGAATAAATATGACCGTGTTGTATAAATACTCAGGCAAGAGGACATTTAAATTACTAACAGGCAAATAATCTGTTCAAAGAGAATAAATCCACACAATACCGGGTATGGGAAACCCCCAGAAGATTGTATAGATACTGGTAAGATCCTTTTGAATCCTTTAGATTTATAAACATGTGGAATCTTTTCTTTTTATACCATAGAGACCGAAGAAGGAGAAGTTAAAGTGTGGAGATCCAAGCGAACGTGTGCATAACTAGCCTTGTAACGATCAATCCGAATTCGTGTAGCTAATAATACAGTTATAACGAAGAAATCAGGTCTAGTTTTGATAAGGGATAGTGTTCAGAAATTACGAAATAGGTTTAATTTTTGGAAAAAAAAGTGCCTGAAACCTAATCTTAATCACAATCTCCAACGGTAACCCTGACTGTTAACACTAACTCCCGACTCTCGCTACTGATGCTAAACGGTAGTCGCTTGGATGAATACCGATAATCCTACGACAAACTGGAAGTCACCATTGGAATATTTAGAGGAACTTGATCTTAAATACTACTGCTGTACATCTTTAACCTGATTCTTTAACCGATATTAGTTCATGATTTAACTTGAAATCAACCAAATCTAATCCAGTGCATCTTAGTAAATCACTACAGGATCCAGTTACCTGGCTATCTAGTGAGAATTTGTGACATCAATCTGGATCAGAGGAGAAGTACTCGTTAGTGATGCTACATATCGCTGACTGACAGAAGTTTCCCTCCAATGGCTGAACAGTCAACGGTCTCGTCTAATAACCTCAGGGTACTAGGTTCGATCCCTGCGGGATGGCATGGATGCTTACTGCTGAGGAGTTCCATACTAGAATGAAACGCTTTGAATTTCAATAATTCTCTAACTAATATATCATCTCATGATGTGACTCCAAGTTAATCAAATACCAGTAGGCCAACACGTGAAAATATTTCGTCCTTAACATTAACTTGTTTCACTCTGGCTGATTAATTCAAAATCACTCATGTGCAGCCTTTCTGCTGAAGGATACATTAACAAATCACAAGTTTAACATAGCCAACATTATGCGATGAATACACACATGCAGCCTAAGGAATGAAAGTGAAATTATGGAAGCTTCAATCTTTGCCTAATAACCTTTACCTAGTAGACACTTCAACACACACAGGTATCCTACTGACCAATGAGGAACGTGGGAATTGACTGCAAGGTCAAACGTATTAGGTGAGAATAACAGTCAATCGGAAGTAAAAATGGATATTTATCACTAATCTCTAATCTTTTTACCTAGTTTCCTAATTGTCTATATCTTGTGTAAAAGCTGACAAACGATTTACAACTTTTTATTATGGACACACAAATCATTGTATATATATCATATTCAGTTAACCATGACCATGAACTTTAGTCGAAGGCAATCGTTAAAATCTGATGCAAAAGTACACACACCGTTTACAGTGTTTAACAAAAGTAGACTAATTTAATTGAATTTTAGATTTTCCCGTCGATTGATTGGACCGAAGTGTTCGGTTTCAGGTTGACATGTTGGCTTCTTGTGCAGATGCTTCGACAATGCCGGGGCATGAGTGACTCTCGTGGCCCAAGTGGTCTAGTGGATAATGCTTTGGTGTTGGAAACTATGGGCACTGGGTTCGAGCCTCGGTGAGAATATCATCATCACTCACTGGGGAATGCAGGTACATTCACTAACTGACGAGTCCCAAATAGGACGAAATGCGCGTTATCCTGGATTCCACTGCTAGTCATCATCATCCACCAATTAAATTCTAAAGTAGACTAATGTTAAGTCTGTGGTCAAATCTTGAACACAGTTCATAAAATTTTGTTTATCTTCAAGAGTTAGCTTGTATGGATTTGATTTATTTCAAGCTTTTTGATCACAGATTGAAATCAGTTAGAGAACCATTGGAATCCAGTAGTGGATTACTGGACAGCTGTTTTCCGTCCTAGTTTAGGACTCATAGTCACTACGCACCCACCAAGGGGGGTCGAACCCGGGACCTTCCGGTTCCAAGGCTAGCTCGTAGACCATTCAGTCACTGGGACCATACTTGACGGCCTACTAATCCTAACTTATATCAGTTTCGTGATCTTAACGTGACCACCAACCAATGTCATCAGCAAGGATTTGTCCTCACACATCCATGTGTTCTTTCGGTTCATATTTCGCTGAGGATTGTTTCCAGAATTATAATGAAATTCCGATGATGAAGTTATCCTATACGAGTGAATGATATTCTGCGAAAGAAAGACCATCTGGGTGAAGTCATCGATTTGAAACTACTGTGATAAGAGTGAACCATTCAAGACAGTTGAATAAACCAGGTGATTTCGGGGAAAGTAATAATACGACGGCGTTAAACATGTGTATGTGTGCTACTTGAGACTGTCAATCAATGAGAATTCCTTTACTTCACAGAGCTAAAATCAATCGTTGAATCATAACAAAATGCAGGTAAATTGAAGATACAACCGGTAATCTGACTAAGTAGAAGACTTCAAGCAATACAAACTCAACTCTCTGAGAGAAAAACTACTTTAATCGATCGATAATCACAATATCAACCACAACCACAACTACAACAGTTCCACCCGAGTGAGAAAACAAAGAGGTGAAGACCAACTGTCGACAAGAGAGCTTTCATACTGTTGCAAATGACAGTCAAAACAGCCAAAAATGTTATTGAGTATTGAGTGTGTTTTAGGTAACCTTGATGAACACTAAATTCACGGAAGAGTTTATAGAATTAACCTAGTAATGAGAGTGTTCAACCTTTAGAAAAGGTTGGAAGCACACTCACTAAAAGCTCTAAGAGTGTTCGATAAAAATAGTAATTTAGGGTTATTTTAAGGTTAAAGACAAAATCAGAAGGTATCTAACAATTGCTTTGTCCTTACTCTTCACAGACTAATCGTAATGCGGGTTATTATTCACAATTTTATCAAGAGATTTTAATCAACTTTACTGTAAACACAACCCTGTACACTGGTAAGTTATCAGAACTATCAGTAAATGTAGGGGTAGTTGACTAATTATAGCTCTGTTATGCCTTTCATCTTCGTCATTTGAGTCTCAAAACCGTATATATTTAAAAATCAATTAATAAACAAAGTGGTATTATTAAGTTCAATCTACTATTGTCTTTAACTACTCGTATTATTGTCATTATTTCCTTGAGTTCCGGGTGGAATATAAGGCATCACCAGGATATGCCCCTTCCACTTTGTTCTCTGCCAACACTATCAACTTGAAGTAAGAAAAGGAAATCAATAGACGAGGCTGTGAAGTTACATCGATTGAAATGGTTAGGAAATGTGTTACACATGCCTAGCCATCGACTTCCTAGACAACAGGCAATGTTAGCTGATTGATATAGGATCAGGTTGCAAAAGAGCTAATGGTGGTCAAACCAAAGTATAGTATCAGTCAATGAAATCTACAGTAGTTAGTTTAAGCCAGTCAGCCACTTAGGGAGGTGTAGACTGCTGTGTGGCTGAGGTCTTCGGGAGGGTAAAAACCAATGACTGGAGACAATTAATGATATAGCTCAAAATCGTTGTCAATGGCTGGCGCAGATGCACACACTCCTTGTGACTTATAATTTCCAATAAACTATATTGTTCTTCGATATTACTATTCTTTTTGCCTCATATCTCTGTTTTGAATCTCTTTTTACTTTCTTTTCTTACTTTGTGTACTAAATGAAGTGTGGTGTCTCGAGCCGCTGCACATCTATGCAAAGTTCTATATTAAAACCAGTCAATCAGTCTTTCAAGTATTGGTTTTGTAGGGATTTTGTTTGATTGTATGGAGGATTTCATCATGAGCTGACATCAGTGAATTGGCAGAAGTTAGAATTCAAGGACCATTGGATTGGGTCCCAGTGGCTCAATATTCTACGAGCTCGCTAACCTTGTAACCAGAAGGTCCTGAGTTCGAACCCCGTTGGTGGGTGTGTACTAATGAAGAGTTCCAAACTAGGACGAAACAGCTGTCCAGTACTCCCAGGTTTTCCAGTGGTTCTCTAACTGATATCAGCTCATGATGAAATCCTCCATACAATCAGTCTTTCAGCGTGATTCACGATTGGTTTTTTATTTAATTTTTTTAATTTCTTCTTCACCACATGATCTTCTCTATGTTACCCTCAGGTCCATGCACAACTCTCCGCTTCCCACTAGGATTCCACTCTAAGACCTGCCCAGCATGTGATATCAATCAACGGTCTCCTTAGCATATGTCCAGTCGATCTCGCCTTCCTTCTGAATATTTATTGGACAATAGATGCTTGGTTAGTTGCTTGTCTTGTCTTCCTGGTCGGTCCTAATCCTTGAAAAGAGGGAAGGTTGGGTTTAAGGATAAAGACCCTACCCCAGAGAAATCAATCCAGACGCCACAGAAACTTCAAATCACAGAAGAACATAATAGAATGAATAACTACTCATATATACACACAGCAAAAATAAGTAGTATCCGCAGGCTAGGGCTAAGAAAAGAACATTCACAATGAATATCAGAGAAATGAAAATAAATAAATAAAGTGGGGGATACAAATTTATATATACTATTGCACAAAACTTACACTTGATAGTCACAATCCTCTGTAGAATAGTCAGTTAGGTATAAATTCATTTTAGGCCTTAAGAAAATATTTTTACTCGACAATCGACGTACAACAATTGGATTAGTTCGACTGTGCAGATAAGTGATCGCATTTGCAATCTGTCGCAGGAGATGTAATCGCACAGAATGTGACAGTTTTTCACGTTTTATGTGTAATTTTGTATACAGAGAAACACCTGTACATGAACTGAAAAATATAAAGGAAATTGAGAGAGAGAAAAATAATATGAATAACTTCAGTTGAAAAATTTTTGATCGTGAAAAGACAATGGTTATAAGGGACAACAAAGAATCAATAGGCGCCTTCATCATTGCATGATGCTGTATACTACTAACTGACCGATATGAGTAGATGGATGCTACTCACATCAGCTGGTAGTGCTTGTCAGCCAGCCAGTGATTTGAAAACACGGAACAGTCGTTTCGCTCATCAACAGTGTATTGAATTCAACTCAATTAGTTCAAACCTCCCCAATTTTGGTTAGGCACTTGGGCGAACAGGTAATACATTGGATTGAATTCTCTCTTTCAGTACTATGTGATATTCTTCAACGGTGCAAAACTCTGTGATGGCCTGCTTGAACCACTCAACTGCCTGAATTTCCTTACAACATAAAACATTAAATTCTCTTCAGTTCTTGTTGGTTCAATGATTCAGTTTTGTCCTTGAGTTGTGAAATGTAGTCACGCATATTTCTAATTGGCTCTAAACCTACCTCTATGGATATCCTGGAGACGACGGAAAAATATCATAAGGACTCGGTTTCTGCTACAGATTAAACAGTAATAAATCAAATTGCATGCATATATATATATATGTTCATTCCTTCACGTTCCCAGTGGAACATAGGGCTTCAAGCCAGAGGCTAGAAGTTTCTGTGTCAGTGGTGATTATTTTTAGAGGATGAGGTTGCTAGCCTCATGCCCAACCTTTCCTCTTTACCAGCTTTCTTTTTATTAATGGCTTAGCGAGGTAAAAGAGTGCGTCGTCGGCCGGGGATCAAACCCCGGACCAAGTGAGGCGTGGCCAGAGAGCATTCTACCGCTGTGCCACCGACGCACAAACTAATTTTTTATAGATTACTATTTAACTTGAAGATCCTGGATGAAAAGAAAATAGTCTGTAGTTTGCTTTGTAAGGGTTAGTTACAAACTATAGAAAATTAATCTGATGCTCGCTAGCGACTTGCTACAGGATGGAGTTTCCTGGAGTTCTAGTGAGAAGTCGTGACCAGTGAGGTTCAATTAGATGTCACATGTGTGGATGGATGTCTCACCGACGACAATGGTTGGGGTCGCGCTAAATCACGAAGTGGTAGAAGTTAGAATTCATGGGCCATTGAATCGGGTCCCAGTGGCTTAATGGTATACGAGCTTGCCTTGTATTCGGAAGGTCCTGGGTTTGAATGCCAGTGGGTGCGTACTGCCGATGATTCCCAAACTAGGATGAAACAGTAGCTGTCCAGTACTCCCTGGTTTTCAATGGTTCTCTAACTGATATCACTCCGTGATCAACTAGTAAAAACAGTCTGTAATAAATTAAGGTAAAATTTATGTACATTGTGCAAATATTCTGTTCAGAAGAAAGCTATTATCATTATTATGAAATCCGAACCTGAGAGTAAATAGGCAGATAGATATTTGTTGGAGGGTTGTTTTACTAATTCAGGCACCCAGTTAGACAGTGTTTTCTATTCTCCAATCTCTTCTTTTAGACTGATGAAAGTTGCTAGTTAACCAGAGTGATATTTCGTCACTTGACGGTGGTATGCAAAAATCACTGGACTGTCTAATTAATTTTCGATTCATCAGAATAGATCAAGTCGATTCTATTTTATTTTGTTTTAATCATCTATTAATGTCCTTGAATCGCAATCTGTACTCATGGTACAATTTTCAAATTGGTATAGACCTAGTGTCATGAATACTTTGAAGGGAATGAACCGAAGATATTTCAGCATACTAGAATTCGGTTGGTCCAGATAGAACGATAATGATTCAAATGACAGTGAAGGTTGGACACATGGAGTGGATACTTAGTAAATTAAACACGCTGAGAATTCTGTGCTTTTTATTAATGCATTTGTTAGAATAAAAAGCTATTAGTACCATTATAATTCTTTCTGTCAGCTCATGACAAAATCCTGTAACCAATCAAATCCCCACAAACCAACACTTGAATATCAATGAGATGCTCACTAGATACTTGCCCTATTCAGGTAGGTAGTCACCTGGGGTTCTAGTGACAAATTGTGATCAGTAGGGTGCAACAGGTCGGGTGTGAGGGCAAATACTCGCCACGGATGACATTGGCTAGGGGTCGCGCTATGTCGTGAATTGGCAGAAGTTAGAATTCATGGGCTGGTCATTGGATCGGGTCCCAGTGGCGTAATGGTCTACGAGCTCGCCTTGTAACCAGAAGGTCCTGGGTTCGAACCCCGTTGGCGAATGTGTACTGCAGAAGAGTCCCAAACTAGGACGATGGAAACAGCTGTCCAGTACTCCCAAGTTTTCAATGGCTCTCTAACTAATGTCGACTCATTACGAAATCCTGTAACACATATTTATTTCCTCATTCCTTCTCATTCCAAATAGAACATAGGGATTCAGACTTTGAAGTTCCAGTAGCGTCGGTGTTTAGTTTTACGGAATAGGGTTGGCAGCCTTATGGCCCACCCCCCTTTTTATCCAGGCTTACTATCGGGCAGTGAACTTGGCGAGGTTTAGGAATGAGTCAGCCGAGAGTCGAACCCTAGACTACGTGAATGGTTAATGAGTATTCTACCATTGAAGAACAACCGACGCGTTACACTCATTATCCATCCAGATATAACAGGGTATAGTTTCAATTCAATAGGAAATCTGTTAACATTTTAAAGTAGAAGGTGACAGTTTACTCGGCTATATCAACACCGGGAGAACAAACTTTACTGTCAGCAAACAGTGGATGGATATTGGAAATATTTACTTTTGATACATTTAGGAATTTATCAAGTCAGCATTTTTCAGTGCCTCTGAGAAATCAATAATTTACTCTATTTATAAACAAAAGGTAATTGTCTAGTAATAGTGCTCAGTCTAAACAGGTAGAATGACCAACCCTCACAGACTCCAACTCAAGCTGGAACATCAGTCATCTTCAACTAACTAGGGGAAGATAGCTCAACAAAAATCGCCAGTTCAATACACTAATTATCCTCAATGAATTTGAAGGAAGCAATAACAATACATTTGTCAGAATAAAATGGGCACATTTTAACTTTATATATATCAATTTACGTCTCATCTGGACACCAACACTTACTAGAGATGCTGGTGTGTCCGGATGACGAGGCCCAAGTAGGATGAAACACACACCCTAGATTCAAAACGCTATCCATCACTAAACTAGTAATTCCTGTTGTCAACTAAAAAGTTGGTAAACAACGTGCACATATGAGATGGTGCGTCGGTGGCACATCGGTTAGGACGGTCGCAGACCTTGCACGTGGTCCGGGGTTTGATCCCCGGCCGACCCCTCACTCCTTTACCTCGCTAAGCCAGTAATAAAGAAGCTGGTAAAGAGGAAAGGTTGGGTATGAGGTTAGCAACCTCATCCTGTAAAAGTAAATACTACTGCTACAGAAACTTCAGGCCTCTAGCTTGAAGCCCTATGTTCCACTGGGAATGTGAAGAATTAGAATAAAAAAACACATGAGATGAACACGTCAGACACCCAATGTATAAATTTCTTATTGTTAACACTTAAGCATTTAATGTAGTCATTATTTAGAGAACGCGAAAGCGAACATAAGTAAAGGATTAAATGATTGATCTTCTCACTGACATCTCTGGTATCTGACTGTTTTTGTGAATTAATTATTTCATCGCCAGTATTTTGCTTTTTTATTAACTCCTCAACAACTTCACATTCAGTAAAATGTGAATTTACTCTTACGCCTATCTGCTTCATGCCCTGGTCTACACACATATCCTACTTATGATTGCCATTTGTAAAATGTATTCAGACTTTTATAATGTCTTATGGATGTTTACCCCGAAAAACTAGTAACAAATGCTGTAGTAACTAGGGCAAGTGAATTTAAGCTTCACAGTCATCAAAGTTGATTGGCAGCGATAATTAAATCGAATATGTATTGAAGGGATGTTCAGTCTAATAACTAATAAAACAACAATCTTAGCCAATAAGAAACACTTAGTACATCTTAAGGCATCGTCAAAGAATTCATACTAAGAGATGACATGACATATCAGCAGAGACTGACCACTTCCGTCCAGTATAGCTAACCGACAAGAAATTAGAAATAAATTCAACAAATAGCATCTCATCTCTACTGTTGCCTAGTGGATAAGAGTTTGGCTTTTGCAACGAGCTTCGGTGGGAATACCATCACTTGCTGAGGATAAAGACAAATCCAGTTGGAGAGATTCAAATAGGACGAAATGCACACCTTAAATCCCACAGGTAGCCACTACAAACCAAGAAACATTTATACAGAACACCAATCCAAACAACAACAAAAAAGCTAATGAGGAGAAAATCAGTCCAAGTAAAACAAAAAAAAAACAACTTCCAAGTGTGATCACGAAACAATGAAAACCAGAAAGTATCAGACAGTTGTTTCGTCCTTGTTTGGGATTCTTCCTAAGGACACTCATCCTTTGAATCCCACAAGGTATTGAGTTCAGGACCAGTGGGGTCCATCAAGCTGGCTGTGAGAAGGAATACTCGCCGATGACATTTGCTGGAAGTTGCGACATTGTCAGGAGTTAAAACTCATAAGAAATTGGATTCCATCCAGTCGGCTGAATGATCAACGAGCTCTCCTTGCGATCTAATTGTCTCTTTATTATTTTTAGGGGGGTGATAAGTTTGACCTCTGAAGAGTCCTGAACTAGAACGAAACATCTCTTCAGTGAGTTCGTGAGCGAGCTTGAAATCAATCAAATCCGTGTAAACGAAAACTTGAAAAAAAAAACAGACGTAACAAAATGTGCTAATCTCCCAACTGAATTAAGAAGTAATTTTTCCTGAAATGGTATTAACTCGAACTGGTAGGCAGAATCAAACAACAGCCATAAGAATTGCGGTAATAATCTTCTCATTATAACCGAAATTCAGACATGCATGTAATATATCAAACGTACAATGTACATAGTTTTCATAATCCTCAAACAGACTCAGAT